GAGTTAGAAGAATTAGATGAGGTAACACATATATGGCATTGGGACCTTACCATGTAGATACCCTGTATATAGCAAACTTATTTCCTGGAAGAAGGCCAAGAGCCCATGTGCGCAGTTGGACTCTGTCTGCACTTGCCTGGGCATGCCTCAACCCAGAACAAGCTGTGACCTGCTCTCCTCCCCCTGCTTCATGGAGTTACCCTCCAAGTATCTCCTCCTAACTCCCCTAGGACAGACAGAAATCTCCCTTCCCACAATACCTCCCTCATGAATGAGTCTCCAATAAGGCCTTCCCTGATTCAATTATATCTAGAGCTCTCTGGTGAATTCTTGCCCTAGAGGGCAAAGCACCCACTCTTTTTCAGGTCTGTAACACTACCAGTCATCTATTCCCAAAGAGAATTGACTCCTGTTTCACATGGGGTAAATTTCCTAACCCACACTTGGCCCGTTTGTGGGCAAATGCTCCATTCTCTTGCACACTTAAATATTTCAAGAACAACTAAAATGGAGTCTATGACATCTTTTTCCATTTCCTATCTATGTGCTTTTTGTGCAATGGTGTTTATCACATTCTAATCAGGAATGTGAAATCAAAGCTTCAGATCACTTCCCCATTCCCCTGAATTCTTGATCTCTCCTCTGTCCTACTTCTTTTTCTTCATACAAGATCACCAATATTAACTGCAGGGAGGTCTTGTAGCTTTCCTTCATTTAACACCAGACAGATTATTTCAGGTCAACTTTTCTCAACTGAAGGCATAAATGGTTAAGAGCTGTGGGCCCTTTCTGAGTGTTCCCCCTTAATTCCTGAATCAGAAATCTGTCAGTCATTCAGTTATAAAGAATTGCACAGCCGACTTCCCTTCAGATTTGTGGAGAGCTATTTCCAAGTCATAACTAAAAATAGAATTGGATTTTTTAGGGTTTTTTTCTCCCCAAGGTACACTTATGTAAAAAATGTTTCAGGGGTAGATATCTCCCCAGTGTGGTGAGATATCCCCAGGGGTTCCAAATCACTGGAGGCTCCTCCCAGACTCAGATAAAACAAGGACTTAATTCCTGCAAGCCATTTCCAGTTATATCTTAAGTAACCAACTTTTTTTACTTAATTATTTTTTATTGTGGTGACTTGATTTACAGTATTATATATGATCTAGAGGTATAGGGTCATACCTTTTCAAATGTTTTTCCATACCACTACCACTACCCAAATCACCAATCATCACCCACCATAGTCATTTAGGTCTCCTCTGATCTTTGCTCTTGCAATGGTTTAAATTTCTTGTGCTCTTTGTTTTGTTTCTCTATATTCCATGTGTGAAATAATCGAGTATTTGTCTTTGTCCTTCTGATTTAATTTAGCATAATCCCCTTCAGTCCCATGCATGTTGTCTCAAATGTAAGATTGTACCTTTTTATTTTAAATATAACTGAGTAATATTCCATTATGTATATATACTACATCTCCCTGATCCACTCATCTCCATTAGGGCACTTAAATAGTTTGGCTATTGTAAATAGTGTTGCAATGAACATAGGCATGCAGATGTCTCTTGGAATTTGTGTTCTTGCATTCTTCAGGTAGTGAAATTGCTGATCATCTGGAAGATCTATTTTTAATGTTTTGAGAAAACACCATACTTTTTCCATAAGGGCTGAACCAGTCTACATTCCCACCCACAGTACACAAGGGCTGTTTTCTCCATACTTTCACCAACACTTAAAAAGCAAGCTCTGCAGTTCCAAATCACATGAATAACATGTGCTTATCATCACTAAGGGGAGGTCTACATAGCTCACTCTAATCTGTGACCAAATAGTCCACCTCCCCAATACTATCACCCCATCTTTACATTTTAAGACTTAAGATTTGCAAGCCACACTGACTAAACCAGTTGTTTTCTGTTCCTTGGCTCCACCTCCACTTTCTTAATCTTGGCTGCATGTTGTAATCACACAGGGAGCTTTGGAAAAGCAATGCCTGCATTTAACCCCAGAGATTTGATATAATTGGTGGGGGAGCAGGGGTGGCCTAGATATTAAAAACTCCTCAGCTTACTTAGTATAGACAAAATGTGTGACCCTGCTGCTGCACATGAACAACCATTTTCATACCAACACGCTTGCTGTTGCCTGAACTGTCATCCCCCACCCAAGAAGTCTTAATTCACTGTACCTCAGCTAACTTATGTCCTAGGGCAGTTTCAACAGCAGACAAAAGGATGAACAAACACAGTCTTTACACTGAGGGGTTCAGTCTAGCAGGGAAGGTAACTCAACAATTACCCAAATAAACACAAAACTGCAAGTAAGTTTTGCATAAAAAGAAGCTGTAATTGATGCAATGATGTCCCAGGATTCACTCTTAAGGATATCAAGGGAAGATTTCTTTTGAGGGTGACATGAAAGAGTGAAATGAGTCAGAATTAGTTATAAAAAGAAAAAAAGAGATGCTTCAACTGAGATCCTTTCCACCAAGCCAGACCAACCAAACAATCCCTTCCTAAACCAGCTCTTCCAGTGCAGGGACCCAGGCTTCACCCAGTGCTTTTCTGCTGCATTCCATCCACCTGCAGCTTACTGGGAGGAGATCACGGAGTCAGTCCTGGGACTCAAATTTCTGAGTGTTGTGCTGTGGCTTAGCTAGAGGGGACATAGCTAAAAATGGGATGACCAGAGCAGCAGTCCCTACCATTTTCCCTCTCCTGCTTGGAGGCACTCACTTCCAAAGATTTGTCTCTCCACCTTCTGTCCAATCAATTGACTCAAACTTTCGCCAGGTGGGAGTGATTATGTCCTGTGCAGGGGACAAGGACGCCAGAGCTTGCCCTGCACAGTACAGCCTGGGTTGCATCAGTGGTGAGGATGCTGACCCATGCCCCTTGTCTGCCTTCCACTTTTCTGCTCTCACAATTGCCTGGGCTCCCTTCTGGCTCCAGCCCATAAAATGATTTTTCCATAAAGTATTGTGGTTTTCTGCACTATAGTGGCCATTTCTGGAAAAGACACATGAAGGACAGGGAACTGGATTTGCAAAGCCTTTGTGGCGGGAAGGAGGCATTGGACAAGTTTATTCAAGTCAGAAGGTTATGTCGAAGTACTTTCTAAGGTTTAAAAACATGATCTTCACAGAAATACAGGTGGACACCTGTCAACAATTTTGCTCAACTCAGCAATTAGTGAGGGAACCAGTTTCAAGAGTAAAAAGAAGCAGTTTATACAGATCATCAAGAAAACAAAAGAATGTTAAAATAAGATTGTTTACATACCCGACTGGCTAATACTGTCCAGGGCAGTAAAACCAAACCATTTAGGGATTTCTTCCTACCGGATAACTCTTCAAGTTCACCTGTAACTTCATGGTAAATACCAAAATCAAATGCAGATATTTCTTCTTAGAGAATTTAAATAGTGTCTTAGAGGGACATTGAAAGACCACGCTGAGCAGTCTCTGGGTTTACATTTGGGGAAAGAGTTATTAGTCAGGTTGCAGAGGCAGGAGAAATCTGATGCAAGATCAGGGTGGAGATTTAGAATCCTAGCAATCATTACTAATTTCTCACATTTCCCCAACTAAGTCTCTCCTGCAAGCAAATGGGGAGGATTGAGATTCAATGCTCTAGTTATTATGACTCTCACTATTTCACACAATGAACATTCTTGCAACTCTCTCACCTGACCTGACCCCCCACTCCTCAGATCAGGCTACTTTCCCCTAAGTCTTCGTGTGAGGTGGTGTGAAGATGTGGAACGTTTCCTAAGCTTACATCTAAGCTTACACTCCCCCGCAAAAAAAAAAAAAAATCTATGTGATTTAAAGGCAAATCTTAATTCCAAATCAGTCTTCAGAGACAGTTCTTTAAACTGTCAGGTTCCTGTGAGTCAATAGAAGCAATTTTCTTTTATTTGCTTTTGCTTCTCCCCTTTTACTCTGTCCACACAGCCTCTGCAGTACCTACCTACAAAGTGTCTCTATCTACAGAGAAAGGCATATAGGCTTCCTCTGCATTCTAGAGAAGATGGCTTGTATTTTTAGAAAATTGGATAAAATTGGACCACTAGCCTCTGTAGTCATGTTTATACAATAGGTTTCTATGCAGTAGAGTTTAAGACAGCTTGCTTTTTGCAATGATGATACAGGTTTAATTCTTTATTCTGTTACTAGATACTTAACAGCTATGTTACACTTTATGAAATTAATACACCACCAAGCCTCAGTTTCTACATTTAAGTTTAATACACACTTTCCAAGTTGTTAAAAAATATTAGGGGAAAATAAAGTATGAAAAACCTTTCACATCAAAGTTTCTCTACCAATATTTTGTCATCTTCTCAGCATTATAGCCCTGAGCAAGGCTACAGGAAAAAAAACATTTTTCAGTAGATTGTTGAACAAAGGCGAGAGTAAACACAAGACATTACAATATATTTCAAAGCATTGAACTGTCTATCAGTGTCCTTTTAAGAAATCCACTTTTCCTTAGAAGAAAGGAGTAGGTTACTTAAAAATAATTCTAAAACATTCACATTTTCCATAACACCTCCTTGTTCTTCTCCCAAAAAAAATAACATGCAAATTAAGTTATTCTCTACTTGGAATGTAAGTGTTAGGAGTTTCTGACTCTGTCAGCAACAGGATGGCTCAATGTCAACAGTGTCTCCACGCCACATGCCACTGTGATATCCTCAAATCTAAAGCTTTGATTATGATGAATTCTGCGTTCAGAAATATCTCTAGAGTTAACCTGATCCTCAGAATCTCAGGATATATTTCTACTCTAATTTCTCTATCTAGGTGGGGGGACAGGGGAGCAGCAAAAAAAACATAATGGTTATTTCTTTATCTAATGTTGCATATACATTTCTTATTCTAATTCATGCAGGGTCCTTCAATTATTATCATTCGTGACTGGACTCAAAGGTAGCTTTTTACACTAAATGGGTATTGAAAGCCATGAAAGCAAAGGTTTGGGGAATATTCAGAACAGGGTTAAGTACTCTAAATTCCATACTGGATTACTTTATATAAGTTCTTCTATAAAGTCATGTTTTCGACTTTCTGGTACCTTACCTTCAATTTCACACCTAGGAAGATGGAGGGCCAACAGTAACATTATAAGGAGGAAACTGAGGGAGGCAGATGCTGAGAGAGTCTGAAATTGTGCCTCTATTTGGTATACAAAGAGAAAACATAGGCCTGAGTGCTCCATGGAAGGTGAGATTAGAGAAATTATAAATGAGGGATCTCTCTGTCATATCATAGAAGGCTATCTGTCCCCACTCATAGTCTAGGAAAACTCCAACTTTGTGCATTTGCTCTCTCAAGGAGACCTTTTTCAAAGGGGGAGAGACCCAGTAGGTACACTGGGTACCCATCACAGATCTTGTGAGTAAGATTGTATCTTTGGAAGCTTTGGGTACAGCACTCTTTCTGTTGGCAAAATCTTCACATATGCCTAATTGCCACTCTGCTGCCTTTTCTACATCCACTTCCCAGTAGTGTCTTCCTGAGGTAAAACTCTCCACACTCAACACAGTAGCACTGAAGTCAAATCTCCCTGGGTTTCCTGATATAAGCTGCTGGACATATCTGAGTCCTATGCTTCTCAGATCCTTGGATAAGACCAGACAGGGATGAGCTGTTTTAGGATCCAAAGTTACAAGTCCTGCAGGAAGAAAGAAATTGAGTTAACCTAGGGATTCATCAATGCCAATGCCAGAGACAGGATTTCTAACATGTGGGGGCTTCCCAATGAGGGGGCACACATCTCAGGCAGATAAGGAAAAGAAACCTCTAAGCTTTGCATAAGGACTTTAACATCATAGAGGAATGAAATCAGTAAGATGATGAAAGGAGATGCTATCTATCTTAGGTAGAAGAACAAAACAAGGAAGCTTGGAAGTACCTTTCAAACCAGAACAGAAAATTAATAAGTTGTGAAATTTGAGATTTGCCTATTATCTAGTCCTACCCAGCTGGGACCCAATTCTAGACCCCTAACTGATCTTCCTAAGCCTGGAAAAGTCAGAAGCACTAGAGTCTCCTACCAGAGCATTTAATTCATGGCTCTTCCTTGTGACTGAACTGCCTTTCTCACCTTGAAGGTCACCAGAGTGTGGCACAGATACCCAGAAACTGCTGCCAGCCGACTAGATATTGAGGGCATAGCTATCAAAAGGGCATAATTGCAGAGGCTAGAAACCCAGTGAGAATCCTCCAAAAAACCAAGCTGGAAACAAAAAAGCTCAATGTGATCCCTTATACTAAAATGAAGGCAAGATTTGCCTTCTTCAGGTCTCCCTGTGACTTCTTTATCTCTTTTTGTTCAACCTGTAAATACTGTGATATCACAGGACTTGATCCTGGGTCTTCCTTTTACTCTTCATGCTTTTCCTTAAGTGACATCACCTGACCTCAGTTTTTAATATCTGATATATGTTGATAACTTACTTCATAAACAAGCTGCTAAAAACCAACTGGCTATGACAAGGGCATTTCAAACACCTATATCCAAAATTGAACTCCAAAGCCATTCCTTTCCAGTCAATAGGACATTTATTACTTGTGTTAATCATGCCATAAACCTGGAATTTCTTACTTTTTAACATTTAATCCAGCGACAAGGATTATTATTAAAAAACATTTAAATCTCTGGACTTGTGGTATAATTCACATCATTATTAGAGTTGTCTTAAAAGCTATAAGGCTGAATTTTAAATTTCACATTGTCTCAAGTGCTTAGAAGACTGACAGAAACAAATTCACTGAAGGAAGGCACACCTTCATCTTTGGTCTCAAGAATTTCTATAATTTTCAAGGAAAAAGGGAAGTAATACTTATTAAAATTATTGAACACCCACAAAGAAAGCACTACTGAAACTTGAAGAAATAAATCTACAAAATTGGAATTCTCAGACAAATTCCAAAATAATTTTTACGTATTTTATTTCAAGAAAAAAGCTTAATACCTATAAGGAATAGGTAACTAAAAAGCAAGACCAAGTGAATTTGCCAAAAAGCTAAGATTGTCCAGAAAAAAAAATTAGATGAAACATGTCAATGGATAATTGCTAGGAAAGAAAAATCTAGATCAATATGCTCTCAATAACATGAATGCACAAATTCTTCACAAAATATTATTATGTTGAATCCGACAATATATAAAATTGATAAAACATATTTCAAAGTGCTCATTCTGGTAATGTAAGGCTGGTAACCATGAAAAAAAGCAATCCACCATATTAACATATTGATGTATGAATATCATGAGCGGAAAAACATGAGTGTTTGATGCAAAGAAGGAAAACCATGAAAACCCTATAACTGACATCAGACTTAATGGTGAAAGGCTTAATGTTTCTTTCCCACAAAATCAAGAACAAGGTAAATGATTTTCACCACTCTTATTCAACATCATACTGGAGGTCCTGCCAGCACAAAATGAGAAAAAATACAAATAGGCCTACAGATTGGAAAGCAAGCAATAAAACTCTCTATATATTCATAGATTATTTGGCTATCTTTGTAGAATTCCCAAAGAAATCTATAAGAAAGTCAGTAGAACCCAGTAAATGAGTTTACCATCGTTGTAGATATAATTTCAATATACATAAGCCAATTTATTTCCATTATTAAGTAAACTAGAAATGAAATTTCAATTAGAAGTTCATCTATTAAAAAGCCATTAACAGTACTAAAAAATAAAATAATCAAGGATCAGTCTAATTAAATGTATATTTTGTGTTGAAATAAATGTATAAT